GAGCCTGTCACAGTCTGTCAGCCCTGTCTGCCAACCCCTGATCTGTGTTTCCCGCCTTGATCTGAGTTCCCACAGAAGCACATCCTGAGGCCAGGATTCCGATTCAAGTGGTTTGTATGGGGCGTGATCCCAGGCGCTGGTGGGAGGAGGTGGAGAGGTGAGGCAGGAAAGGAAAGCAGTTGGCAAAGGGTGAGTTCTCCCCAGGTGCCACTGTGGGTCCCTGCAGCTTGGTTCTGCCCGGGGGCTCAGTGGAACACTAACCCCAGCATCACCCTGCCTGAGGGATATTCACCCACCAAGTCCTGCTAGACATCAGTCCTGGACAAGGAAGCAGAGGGGACCCAGGAGGAAGGTGGCACGATGGCCCTGGCATTGCACAGGAAGGCCATCTGAATCCTTCAGGGAAGGAATGTAGGTGTCAGCTGATGCATCCCGGGCTGGTGGGCACTGCAGGGGTAAAGGCAGGGGATGCGGCAAAGAGCCCGTACTTTAACGGGCACTGCTGTGATTCGATGTCACCCAGAGGGCCCACACGGAGCCTTGATTGTCTGTTATCTTTCTCCCTCACCCCACATGGAGCAAACTGAGGTCTGTGAGGTTAAACAACTTGCTTAATGTGGCCTGATGCAGGCTGAGGTCTGGCTTCCAGGGACTTCCTCTCTCCAGAGGCCTAAGCTCCACCCTGCCTGGGGGAGGAGCCCACAGTTCATTTTATTCCCGCCTCCCGGCGGGGAAGATTGTCGTGTCAAAACGGGGTCAGCCCACACTCACTCTCCTTGGCAGGCGAAAGTGAGAAGAGAAGCAGCCCGCCTAATCAGACCTTGTGCTTATCCTCCCAACGCTGTTATCAGTCCGAAGAACAGAGTGCACCAGGCTCCTTTGGGGAAGCAGGATTCATTTCCACAGATTAAGACAGATTGTTAAAACTGCATAGAGAAAAAGCAGAGTGTGAATTTGACTGAAGTCCCAAAGACCGGTACCCTATTTTTTTCCTGGCATCACAGAATGAACTCTTTTTACTCCACCAGCGTGGTGGTGGCCAATAAGACAGACAATGTGCTGTGAACAGAAGGCAGCGTTCAGAGTTGGATTGGGATCAAAAACCATCCTGGCTCTTTTGAGCTGTGTGACCTTCAGTTATGTGATCTCCCCCTCCGAACCTTCATTTTCTTACTTGTAAAGGGGCACCAACACTTTACTGTTATTTACACGCGTATGAGAGGTACCCCCTCAACACTGGAATTACCTTTTGGAGAGTGGGCTCCTTGTAATACAGGTATCCCCTGCGAGGCAAGAGTCTTAGGAGCGCATCGGCATCAGTGTACCAGCTAGAGTGGTTGGGAGACAACTCACTGCATTCACCTTCAGTGAATTTCTTTTTTTGGAGATTCTTTCCACACATTTGCCCATTTTGTGATGGGTGATTTACGAGTACACCTGCCTACACTGCCCTAAGTTTTAGGAAGAAAACAGCCTGACTCCCATGCCTCACCCTCCCTCTTCACCAGATCTTGCCTGAGTGACTTTTATTTCCCCAGATGAAAGAAAGTCCTCAAAAGGAAACATTTTACTGATGTAGAAGAGATGAAACAAAAAATGGCAGAAGCACTTAAAAGGCATCAAAACTGACAGGTTAAAAAACTGTTTTGAACAGTGGAAAAAGTGCCTTACTAGGTGTATTGCATCAAATGGAGAGTACTTTGAAGGCCACTGTAGTTTAAATATCTAAGAATAAATACACAATATTTATAAATAAATTCCATTTTTTTGGTTCACCCCACATACACACACGTGTGTGTGAACACACACTATAACACAACTGTTATTGTAACAATTTCATGATATAACACATTGCAAGTGACCAGAAGAATACCTGACATGAGGTCAGGAATTCTTAAGTGTTAGCGATAGCTGTCCCCCGTTGCTACAGAGTTAATAATACTGGAAACAAAACAGATACTTCGTCTGTCCAATCAGAGGATTGGCTTAGTTCTCTATGATGTCACTTCCGTCTCACAATCCTGTACTCTGACTAGAAACCCGCCAGATCCTTGATGTTGAGGTCCACCATGACCTTTGTGAGTTTTCCTCTACCTGAGGATGACGAGATGACGATAATGAAATATTTTATAGGTCTTTAAAGGTTAAAAAGACCCTTCCATCCACTTCTTTGTTGTGACTACATGAGACCCTGGTGCAGGGATTGTAATCTCATTTCTTTGATGAGAAAACGGAGACTTGGAGATGTGCATTGGCTTTTCTGAGTTCACCCTGCTCACACGTGCTGGGGCAGTCAGGTGTTCTGACCATAGATCCCTGGGCTTCGCTCCCAGCTTTCCTAGCACATGGCATTCACAAGAAGCGCCACTCAGTTGCCGTTTCTGTGATTCTCCTGAAGGTTCGGCATCACGAGAGCAAGCTGGAACCCTTGCTGTTCGCCTCAGCTGATGGTGTGAATGAGGACCTTTCTCTTAACGACCAGATGATTGACATTCTGTCTTCTGAGGACCTTGGGAGCATGCTGCAAGCCTTAGAAGAGTAAGACTTCTAAATCTCATGATACTTCTGCAAATGTGATGAATGTTTTCAGTACCATGCCATAAGTGCAAACACCCTGAGTATATTTTATTCATTCATTCAGCTAATCATTTTTCTGTTGCTCCATTGTCATTGACACTGCTACCCAACAAACACTATACTTGGTATTTAGGAAAACAGAAGTGTAGGACATGCTTCTGCTGTAGGGCTTTCTGATGTGGGGGGAGGAGACACGTAAACAGAAGTGACCATAAAGTTTGGTGAGTGCCATGCTAACAGGAAGGTCAGGGCTGGCTGAGCACAGAAAGGGAAGTAATTACTGAGGAAGTCACAGAAATGCTTCCCAGAGGAGATGACATTTAATGAATTCTTGAAGCTTGTGTAGAAGCTTTCCAAGTTGATTAAGCTACAAAAGGCTTTTCAGACAGAAGGAAGAAAGGGCAGATGCAAGGATGAGAAATGAGCCCGATGAATTTGGTGAAATATAAGCAGCTATGTGTGGTTGACATGTGAATTGGGGTATTGAGTTTAGAAAATAGAGAAAGGGGCCGGGCGCAGTGGGTCATGCCTGTAGTACCAGCACTTTGGGAGGCTGAGGTGGGAGGATTGCTTGTGCCCAGGAGTTCAAGACCAGCCTGGGCAACGTAGTAAAATCTTATCTCTACCAAAAAAAAAAACAATCAAAAAGTTAGCTGGGCGTGGTGGCGTGTACCTATAGTCCCAGCTACTTCAGAGGCTGAGTTGGGAGGATCACCTGAGCCCAGGAGCTTGAGGCTGCGTGATTCATGATTGTGCCACTGCACTCCAGCATGAGTGACAGAGTGACAGACTCTGTCTCAAAACAATAATGATAAAATAAAAAAAAAGAAAAGAAAATAGAGAAGAGGCAGCCAGAGAGAAGCCAGTTCAGATGATGTAATTGTTTGCTGAGCTGAATTCAGTTCTTTTTATTTACTTCATGAATACTGACATTGAAGTGCCTATGCACAATAGGACACAGTGCCAGAAACCACTTGAGAACTTTATGAAACTCACTCTCAACAAGCCTATGAAGTAGGTACTTCTGTTTTTATCGTCTTATGAATGGAACTTGAGAGATGTTAAGTAACTTGTCCAAGGGCACACTCTAGGAAACGACAGAGTCAGGATTCAAACCCAGACCATCTGACTCAAGGATCCAGGCACCTAATCACTGCCTGAGCTTTCTCCCGACTAGATCCAGGGGTCACAGTCTAATAGTTGAACCTTACTAGTTAGAGTTCATCAGCATGGGCGTTTCTTTTTCTCTTTCAGCGTGTATTTACCAATGACGTCTTTTTATGCTTTCTTTTTTCAGTTTCCACTTGCTTACCAAGAAGGTCTCAATCTTATCTTTTTCTACCCAAACACGTTAAGTGTAATTATTTTAGAGTCTTTACCTGTAAACTTATCTATATCCCTGTTCTGTGCTTATTAGTGTTCCTCTTAGTTTTTTTTTTTGTGCTTTCTTGACTCCTTGTCTATCCGGGTATTTTTGATTATGTGTTAGACATTGTTTACAAAAATAGAGAAGACAATTTGAAGATGAAGTTATCTTCTTTGAAGCAGCTAGGAGTGTATTTAAGATTACCTTAACCCAACCAGAGATTGAGCTTATTCAATGCTGGGCTTCATTTCTTCCAGAACAAATTCATATCTGGTTATATCTGATTATTTTTTTGTTACTTTCTTTGCTTTCTTGTTAAGCTTCTGATTATTAATAATGGGGCAGATGAGAACCCTTCAAATTGGATTTCATTTGCGGAAAACCTTTCTTTTTAAAAAATTTTTGATTCAAGGGATACAAGTGCAGGTTTGTTACATTGAGTGATGGTGACATTTAGGCTTCTATTGCACCCACCACCCAGAGAGGGAGTATGGTACCCAATGGGTAGGTTTTTCAATCCGTGCTCCCCTCCATCCTTTCCCCCTTTGGAAGTCCCTAGTGTTTGTTGTTCTCATCCATATGCCTGTGTGTAGCCAGTGTATAGCTCTCACTTATAGATGAGAACATGCAGTATTTGGTCTTTTGTTTCTGTGTGAATTCTCTTAGAATGATAGCCTCCAGCTGCATTCATGTTGCTGCAAAGGACGTGATTTTGTTCTTTTTAATGGCCCATAGCATCAGGAAACCTTTCTGATTCTAGATTCAGAATGCATAGATTACTGCCCACTAGGGGGTGGGGGTGATATGTATGGATTTGGAGTCAAGGTTCTGAAAAACTATAATGTCTTATCCTCTTAATAAAATACTTATATTTTTGTCACATTTTAAAATGTACAGTCTCTGTTACACCCTCAGTTAATTTGAACCTCAGAGTAATGCTCTTTGGTAGGGCATCTTGTTTTCGGTATTGGATAGTTGAAGAATCTGAGGCTTAGCTACCTTTAGAGGTTTCTCTATAGTTACGCCTCCAGTGAGTAAAAAGCAGAACTTGAACTTCCTCCGTGCTTGGTGTCAGGCTCATTATATTTTACAAACATCCTCTGAACCTCAGTTCCTCATCTCTCAAAAGGGGGCATCCATGACCTAGTGCCTTGGGATTCTGTAAAGTTTAATGATGCTGGAGACTGAGGATGGTAAAGCATCCTTGCAGCAATGGTTGCCTCTGAGCCTGGGTCAGATCAGCAGAGACACTAAAGAGAAGTGTTCAGGATTATGATTGCTTCCTTGAGTCTTTCTTAAGAAATTAAAAACATACTGGAAATGGGAGACTTGGAAGTAAAATCGAGCCGCTGCCTGATCCTGTCTCCCTAGAGCTGTAAATAGTGTTATATAGAGGTGAGTCCAAGGTAGAAGCAGAAACAGCTCTGCTTCTTCCTTTTGAGGAGTGAAAGAAAAGCACTGTTGTGTCTGACTCATGCCACTTTGTGAGCCCAGTGGGTGCTCTCAGCAGAGAGGGACTCTCTTCCTGTTTGGAGGGATGCCCCTTCCTCACTGGGGACCTCATGGAGAACCAAGCTTGAAGCCTCGTAAGTGCAGGGCCGACCTTGCACCGAGTGGGAGATGGGGCCTGGTTAATCCATTTCTGAGCGCCAGGGTTGCGTGGCTTGGATGATTCAGCTTTGTGTGAGCCCTCTGATGGGATTCTTTAGTTTTGCTTGATTCCCAAATCAGGGTGCCAAGGATGGCAAGTTAAAATTCGCCACTCTGTCTGAGAGGAAGGAGGGAGGGGCAGACAAGCAATGAAGAGAAAAATTACTGGCGTAGATTAATAAATGCCACGTATTATATTAAGTGATATGGGCAAGTAGTGATCAAAGTGTTTCCTAGCGGAAGGTCAGTTTTCTTATGGAACATGAAAATGAAAAGTAGGGTGAAAGGATTCGCTTTGTGTGAGCCCCTGGGTATTTAATTTGCAAGTATGTATGACTCGCTAACCTTCTGACCAGAATAATTAGTACTTTAAAACGGGAAAGTATGAATTCTCCTGTCTTTGTTTTTGACTCGAAGAGTGACTGAGGATAAGAACCCCTGTCTTCCTCTCTCCTTATATTCTGTGAAATGAAGGGCAGCTGCTGCGGTCTGCTGGTCCCGATGCCTGAAGACAGTAGGGAAAGCCTGACGTTTACAACGACTTCATTCCTGCACCTCAGTCAGTAGCTCTGAAATTTTACAGTCCTTTCTTCTTGGTAGCTGATCTGCTGTTGCCTGAAGGGTGTTTAACGTTGATTATCAGGCCTGAGAGAGTTCAACTGGAGAGCTGAATTTTTTTTTGTTTGGAGCTGGTGTCTCACCCTGTCACTCACTCCTCGACCCGCTGGGCTCCGGCGATCCTTCCGCCTCAGCCTTCCAAGTAGCTGGAGCTACAGGCGTGCGCCACCACGCCCGGCTCATTTTTTGATTTACTGTAGAGATGAGGTCTCGCCAAGTTGTCCATGCGGGTCCCGAACCCGCGGGCTCAGGCAGTCTACTCACCTCAGCCTCCCAAGGCGCAGGATTACAGGCTGAGCTACCGAGCCAGCCGGAGAGCTAAATTTATCCCTCACTCTCTGTCTTCCAGATGCCATCTCCTCCCCCATCCCCACATCCCAACATTCAATATTTATCGAAAACCAATTCTGTTTCAGGCATTGTGGTGGGGCACTAGCTTTAGGAAAGCGGGTCTGTTTTTTTTTTTTTAAGTCGCAGCATTGTCAATTACTTTTAATCTCTCCATCTTGACTTATAGTCATGCTCAGGAGCTCCCAGAAAGGAAATGTCACTCAGAATGTCAGGGGCTTAGTGTGCATGGAAATCTGTGATATGCTTCCCACTAAAAATAGCTTTCTCTCTCTAGCAAATCATTTATCCAGTTTGTAATTCTTACATGAGGCTTAGCTGGGATTCTAAATATGCCATTAGGTGACTTGATTGTCACCTTGTTTCAAGACCCATCAGAGCCATAGCTTGCTCTATCTTACTGATTTATTTTTGGCAAAGCGTTTCCTAGGCTTTCTGTTTATCTTTTACATTGCTTATTCATAGGCTGCCTGTTGCAGAGGGGATGTGAGACAGGGATATTTCTTTTGATTTTTGTCAAGCTCCTTGACTTTCGTCGTCATGAAGGTGGGCTCAACCCCAGTGCATACTGGGACCAGGAGGAAGGAGGACCTGGACAAACTGGGTGGTCCCGGCAGCCTCCAGAGGCATGGAGTGCCTGTGATATTTTCTCTCTGGCTTGTTTTCTCTCTGGCTTGTTCTGGGCCTGACCACCGCCACCACCTCCCGCCTGTGATCTTATTTAATTCTCACAGCCACTCTCACTTTTTAGACCAGGAAGCTGAGGTTTAGAAAGGTTTATTGGTTTAGCCTAGGGTCATACAGGGAGTAATGGACTTGGCCCAGGCCTGAGTATTTTCAAATCTACTCTTCTATTGACAGAACAGGTTTTAAAAAAAGACTGAGTTCAGCTTTTCCAAAGAGACAAAGAAAATAAGGAGAAAAAGAAGTCCAAGCCTTTGTCTGTTTCCTCTGTTATTAGAAGAAGCTTGTCATTCTC